CCACGCCCCTGCCCCCGCCGAGCCGAGGTCTGCGGAGAGCCCGCCCCCCCGGGGGCTGGCCGCGCGCAGCCAATGAGCAGGGCAGAAGGCGCCCCCACGCGCACCGGAGGGGCGGGACTCTCTGTTTCTCTGAAAAGTCGGGGCTCAGCTCTTGACAGGTAGCACTTGATGATTGACAACACCTCGGGGGTGGGTAGCGTGGGCCTCCCTCCTGCGTGGGCTTTGGGGTCCGTGTCATTGCCCTGAGAACCCCGAGGTCAAGTGAAGGCAAAGAAAGGGAAACTGAAACCTGTCAGAGGTACCTGTCAGCCTTTGGGACAGGAGCTTGAGATGAAGTGATGAGGCTAATGACCAACTTGGGGGTTGGCAGTGGGGGTGAAGGGACTCCAAGCTGCCACAGACACAAGGACAACTGGCCCTTCAAAGTGCCCTGGGCACCCAAAACACACAAGCAGAGACCTTTGAGAAGAGGTGGAGGTAAGGCAGCGACAGGTCATCACCTCCGCCTGGAGGCGGAGCTCTGTAAATTTTCTTCAAGGCTTTGTCCAGACCATTGTCTGCTTGTGTCAGCCTCCACTGGGGAGCCAGGACCAACATGGCACAAGTGACCGCAGTAGTGTGCTTCTGACTTGTCCACCACCAAACACTAAAGGCAAAAGCACAGGACTTTTGGGTGTCTCCTTTCTAGCTTTATCTGTGCCTCCCTGCCCCCCCTTCATTACAGACAATTGAGAACTAACTGCAACCCCCCTTACTTCATGAGAAAATTATCATGTGGTGGGGGCAGGTAGCAGGTTGAGATAATGTTGGCAGAAAGAAGAACATTGGCATTGATTGGCACGCAGAGGAGGGAAGCTCTTTTGTGTCTTCAAGATAGCTGGGTGCAAGCTAAAAGGAAGGGGAAGAGAGGTCCGAGAGTAGAAAGCAAAGAGAAAGCTTGCTTCCCTGGAGGGGTAGAGTTAAGGCTAGGAAGAAGGAAGAGGAAGGTGGCATGGGGTGAGGCAGGGCAGGGCAGGGTGGGGTGTGCTGAAAGTTCAACTGTGGCTTGTACATAATCATGATGAAGGACCTTAAAGAGTCAAATATGACTTCTGGCTGCAGGGCCAGATCCAGGAGATCAACTGGTGGCCCTTGACGTGTTTTATTTGTAAATTTGAGCATCCTTGGGAAATGGGGATCATTTTACATGTGACTCTGAAAGGTCTGGCAACACCAGGCTCACATGGCAGCAGGGCAGCTGAAGCTGGAGCTCCTGTTCCCCAGAGGCCCCACTCACACTGTAGGCATTTTGCATTCCCCATCCTACTCCCCAACCTCTGCACCTGCCTGGTTCCCAGAGGCCTTGAAGACTGCTGCTACTCCTGTTCTTGATGATAATGATTCTTTTCTATTGAGAGCCTGTGTGTGTGTGTGTATGTACATGCACACCACAAACACAGGTATGCTCTCTTTCAATTAATCTCAATTAATTTTTCAGTTGAGGATGACAGAGGCACAAAACCAAACGTACCCATCTCCTTAACAGATTTCGGCAGCCTTTCCAGGCAACCTGCCAAATTGCTAGAGGGTATTTGCATTTTTTAAAAATTGAATGCATTTTGTTATTTTGGTTTAAGGATTTCCCAGCCTTCCTTAAGGCAATATTTAATTTATGCCACACATAGCTTTCAAAGCATTTCTTAAATATACATGAGTTCATTTTATCATTCCAGCAGTTCCATGAGGTCAGTCATGTCAGTCCCCTTCCTATGCTCTTTTGGGGAAAACCAATTAGTAGAGAAGCTAAATGACTTGCCTTGGTCCTGCAGTAATTTTGAAGACAAGTTAATATTCAGGCACAGCTCTCTGGAAAACTAAGTTGTGTCCTTTTGACTGCATGGAGTTGTAAAAAGTTATGCTTTGATAAACATAGTGACTAAGGGTAGGATCTCCTCCAGAATACTTGTCTGCCTGCTGGTTAGGCCACTCAATAGCTGTGAGTCTTTAGGAAAAGTATTGAATCTTCCCAAGTTTCCTTTTCTGTAAAATGGAGATAACAGCCCTCATCTAGTGAGTGTTGTGTGAATTAAATGAGATAATACATGTAAAGTGTCTAGAACAATCTCTGGCACACTGTTCACTATCTGTACAAAATATCACAATCTGTAAAAAAATGATGATTCTCTGTACCTTTGGGAAACACTCTATATTAGGTAAGGTATGGGCTAAGTTTTAACAAAAAGACCCTAAAATACGTTTCCTCAGAAAAGGATAGAAGTGTATTTCTCTTTCACCTAATAGCTAAGACATAGATGGTCAGGACAGGTAAACAACTCTGCTCCACAGGGTCATTCAGGAACCCAGGTTCCTTCCAATGTGTTGCTCCCCATCCCCTAAGGTGTCCTCTTCTGCATAGTCAAAGCTGGCTCAACCTCACGTCCACCTCCTGTTCTGTCTGGAGGAAGAGGAGGAGCAGAGGTGGAGGGCAAACAGCCCTGCCTAAATGATATGATCTAGAAATTGTTCATGTCCTTTCACTCATAGCTCATTGGCCAGAACTTGGGCACATTTAGCTGCAGGCGAGTCTGGGAAATGTAATGTCTTGCTGGGCCAACTAAACATTCCAAACTAAAACTGAGGAGTTTTCTTGCTAAAAGGAAGAAAGGGAAAGTGGAAATTGGGAACAGTTTATGGTCTTTGTGCCATGTTACCACACATGTGTGCTTTGGACCTGAATTTGACATTAATGCCTTCTCAGCCTGCCAGTTTCTCAGCCCACCTGTACTCTATTGCCTCTCTACTGGGTGCCTGATTTACTCTTGGATTTCTTCTTTTGCAAACCCAGGACAGCTCTTGGCTCCATGTTTCAGATGAATACCTCTGGTGACAGTGTGATTATCTTCTGCAGACTGGTTAGACTATTTATTGGGTTGGGAAACCTGTTCCTTTTCTGCTCAAACCTCCCAGCAAGTGTGGCATTGGGCTCTGTTTTTGTGTTTTTTTTCCCCTTTTTTATGGCATTGGGCTCTGTTTTTGTGGGGGTTTTCCCTTTTTTGACAACTTCCTCAACATGTAACATAAACTCCATACTCCCTTGCCTCCAGAGAGTCTTGGGTCTGTGTGGCTGATTAAGGAAGGGTACCTATGTTCCTTCCATTCCCCTGAAGTCCATCCTTGCATGTGCTGACGAGGGAACCATCTTTCCACCTCATCAGGAATTATCTATGAAGCCATTAGTTTGGTGAATGGATGGGCAGCTACATGGTCCTGAATCTCTGTGGTCTGAGAGCTCAACCTTCATGATGTATGCATTCCTGAAATCACTAAGTTAAATAACAGCCTGGCTCAATGAAAGGAAATATAGATCAATGTTCCATTTCATTATTGCAATAATTGAGATTGAACAGGTCAAGGAAGGGGATACCGATTGTCCCCATCTTGAGCTTTGATGAATACAGGAAGGGAACCCATACTACCAACCTCACCAGATGAAGAAGGACATTTGTACCTGTTGAGGGCCTGCTATGTGCCAGGCACCTACTAGAAGCAGAAGTCAGAGCACTAAATAACAAGACAGGCACCCAATGGTGTTTTCAACCTAGCAGGAGTACTTTACATTAATAATTTCATTGAATTCTTGCAAGTTCTGCAAAGCATACATTTTTCACATTTTAGAGACAAAATGTTATTTTGGGAAGCAGTAAGGATGATTTTGAGCCCACATCTGTCTGATTCTAAAAATCCTGCTCTTTCCATTATTACCTCATCTGCCTCCAGTTGCTTTCTTTGTTCAAGAGGGAATCTAGTCTATACATAGAAGTGACCTCGACCCCTCTGCTGAACATCTGAACAGTGACTACTGTTAACTCCGGGGCACTTATCCTGCATTTCTAACCACTCTTATCCACTCATCCTTCTGTGTGGACCTACCCAGCTGAACCCTACTTCTGGAGCCTTTCTGCCCTGCTCC